TTCTGACAAAGACTCCACCTGAACTGAATCAGATGATCAGTACCTTGGCTGCCAGAGATCATTCTTGGGGGCAGAGCAGCAGAGGCAGGAATTCCAGGGATCGTGGTGTGCAGGCCATGGAGGCCATGTGCGGGCTCGAGCAGCAGGTGGCTGAATTAGTACAGACATTGATGCAGCCTAACAGTCTTTTTCTGGATAGAGGTACGGCTGTACCTCTAGTAGATCAATGTCAGTGGTGTGAGAGCCCAAACCATCTAGTGGAAGACTGCCAGGCTATGCGGGAGTCTACCACTCCCTAAGAACAATTGGCCTTCAATGCCAATGCTCGGCGCCTTGACCCATACAGCAGTACATACAATGAGGGGTGGTGCCAGCATCCCAACTTCGCTTGGAGCAGCAACACCACTAAACACCTGGTTTCCCAGCACCAGCGGGTGGTTTTCAGTAGAGGCAGCCCTTCCAGGCCAGATAGGGGCCAGTCCCACAGCAGCAGCCTTACCAGCCTAGGCAGGGGAAACCATTTCAGCAGCCTCAGCGTCAGTATGCCGAGCCAGCAGCAGCTTCAGCTCCAGATAATCAAATGACGGAGCTGAAAAACATTTTAGCGACATTCATGACTACCAGGCAGGCCAATTTTGCCAGGATAGACCAAAGCATCACCTCGTTGGAGGCGGGTCAGAGGAACCAAGGTGCCATATAGCAGGACCTCCAACATCAGATTGGAGGAATAGCCCGCCAGAACAATACCAGGGCACCGGGAACTCTGCCTGCCACCACCATTCCTAATCCTCGCGAGCCTCACCAACAGCTGGATGCCATTTTTACCCGGAGTGGTAAGTCCATATCTGCTGCCCCTGCCCCAGCCAGGCATGAGGAACCATTACCTGCTTCAGCACTTCCAGCCGACGATGCAGAAGTGAGGGTGGAGAAGGAAGCCCCTGCTCCCAAGCCACAGCCAGTGGTTAAGGAACATGTGCCCCAGCTTCCCTTCCCCACTCGGCTACACAAGGACAAGTTGGAGACTGAGTTTGCCAAGTTTATGGCAATGTTGAAGCAGCTCAACATCAGCATGCCGTTCATGGAGGCACTATCGAAGATGCCCAAGTACGCCAAGTTCATGAAGGATATCCTCACCAGAAAGAAGACACTTGGGGATCTTTCGACAGTGCTGCTGAGCGAGGAGTGTTCTGCTATCCTGCAGAACAAGCTGCCTGAAAAACGCAAGGACCCAGGGAGTTTTACTATCCCTCTTACTATTGGAAGCATGCATGTAGGCAAGTCCTTGGCGGACCTACGCGCTAGCATAAATGTCATGTCGTATAAGTTGTTCAAAAAGCTAGACTTAGGTGAACTTAGCCCTACTAGGATGAGCATTCAGCTCGCTGACCGTTCCATTGTGCATCCTAGGGGTATCATCGAGGATCTGCTTGTTAAAGTAAGCGCATTCACATATCCTGTTGATTTTGTTATTCTGGATATAAATGAGGATGTGGATGTGCCTTTGATTTTGGGTAGACCATTTCTTGCCACCGCCAAGGCACTTATTGATGTGCATGATGGTAAACTGATCTTGCATGCTGGGAATGAACAGGCTACTTTTTCTGTGGCTGAACTTGATCATTGTGATGTGCATGCTGTCACACCTATGCATGCTATTTCTCACCAGGTACACGAGCCTGTCGTGTAGCCCTCTATGCATCTCGTTTTGCAGGATCCCCCTCTTACACCTTTGCCGCCACTCCCTTCAACCTCACCGCCAAACAAAATAATCAAAGAGGAGTGGCGGCCAAAGCAGCAGGTGGCTAAGTCTGCTCGGAAGAAAGGTGGCGACCACTATGAGCCGGTCCCACCTCTTGCACCACGGCCACCCTGGCCATCCGAGTACTCACTCGCCTGCATCTTGCTAGATGGCCAGGTCGAGCTGGCAAATTCTGGTGGTTGCACCCGTCGGGTGCATGGCCACCACCTGAAGCTGTATCTCAAGAGCGATGTGGATCCGCTCTTGGAGGCACCTGTTCCTGCACCCCGCTGAGTATCCACCATGGGCGTCCAGCTAAAAGACAGTAAAGAAGCGCTTGTGGGGAGGCAACCCCCCCACGGTTTTCATTTATTTCTTTTGTTTTGGGTCGGATTGCAAACTGGTTTGGTGTTGGTTTGTTTTCTTTTTCTTTTGGATGATGTAATATTGGGTTGACCATTGGACCTAACGTACTATGTTTGAGTTCTTCTGTTCCCTTTAGCTGTGCTTTTTCCTTGACTGGTCCCTTCTCCAGTCCGCTTCACTCAGACTGGTCCGCCTCCAGTCTCATGCAGTCTGTGCACACCGGTACCATCGTTCCCCTTATCTTTCCCTCTTCTCTATTGCGGGCAATGTCGAACTTAAGTGTGGGGGGTGTTTTCATTTGACTGCATTAGATCTGTTTGTGTGCTTGGAGCCTAGTCCACTATCCGAATTTTCAAATTTGAGGGCTCCAAGTACGTGCTTCCATGCAAATTGCCTACTCAGTATGCTTTGAATTGACAGTCTCTATAGTAATGTGCAACCTAGGGAGGTAGTGTAGCACTGTGGAGGATGTTGAAGTATAAGATTTTTCCTATCTAGCTCTCTGCTGTGCCAGTTGATTTTGTGAATTAGTGGAGCTAAGACCGTTAAATTCATGTGGTAATGTGGACTCTGTTTGGATTATGTTGTGGACTCGTCAATCGAACAGGGTGCTCATGTGAGAAATAAAAAGAAGTTGGTCCTCCATGTCGAAATCATCAAAAATCTTAAACATGGGGTAAGCCCAACGTGTGTGGCACCGTTCATTGCACAAAATCGGGTTTTGGAGGTGATCTTAGTGATCCTTAGTGGGGTACTCCTACAAGGTGAAGCTAAGCTGTCTCCAGTACAAGTAAAACTTCCACACGTTGAACGGTTTGCCTACTCGAGGATGTGTTTTTAAGGGCACGGATAGAGCTTCCGACCCCCCTTAATTTCATTGACCCTCTTCACGAGTTGAGGAAAAGGAGTTAAAAGAAGTACTCTGGCGAGCGCCACATGTACAGAAATTGCTCTTGCTTGACTAATAAGGGTCGACCGTGCAAAAGACTACAGTTGGAACCCCCCGCCAAGTGAATGAAAAAAGAAAAATAAAGTAAAATGAAGGCGAAAAAGGGGTTCCAACGATGAAATGAAGTGAAAGAGCACCCCGGTACAAGGAGTCCTTGGTTGTGAATGTTGTGAGTCCCTTTGTCCATGAACTGACTGTCTTACTTCTACTTCTTCTCATGATCATGGATTGAGTCTAGTACTCGCATTGAGAGAGATAGGGGACGTCTTAGAAGACCAGTTGACCTCGTAAGCTTCTTTATGATCTAGAAAATCCTCTACCGACGATCGGGGTTGTTTGTTGCTATAGAGGTCTGGAGAGCTGCATTGGTTTGAGTTAGGTTTGCTTGGGGACAAGCAAACGGTTAAGTGTGGGGGAGTTTGATAGATCATTGATTGCACATGTTTTTACCCCTATCCTTGAGCCGTTTGAGATGTCGATTCTCGCTTTTAGGCCGATTTCACGCTAGGTTGTTCTTGTTTGTGATATTTAAGGTCCTAGTACGTGAATGAAGGTTTAGGAATGAGTTCGGGGTCGATTGGACGAAGTTTGGACATTTGGCAAGAAGCTGAGAAGCCACACGGGCATGCCTTAAAGCCACACGGCCGTGTAGGAGACCCATTGTGGCCATGTGAAGGCTCGGCAAATCCCATACGGGCAGCCTGGACACTCACACGGCCGTGTGGGTCGTGGCCGTGTAGGAAGCCTGAGTCACTTATCAAAACGCCGCGGTTTGCACAACTCACACGGGCAGCTGGGGATGTCACACGGCCGTGTGAGTCGGGATTTTCTGGTTTTTAACCCAATTTCCAGCGACAATGAGGGGTTTCGAGTTTTAGAGAAAGAAAGCGATTCCTAGAGAGAGAGAGCGACGAACCAGAGTTCCGAAGTGCCCTAGCTTGATCTTCATCACCATTGGAGCTCGGCTCACACTTGGAGAAGTGCCGATTGACTACCAGGAGCAGATTCTCATCCTTCACAGAATGATTTCTGCATCTGAGCTTGCTTTTGCTTCTCTCTCCATGGAGTAAATTCCTCATTCATCTGGGTATGGAGAACCCTAGATTTGCATATTAGGTCTGATTGTATGAACCCAAGTACAGATTCTGTGATTTGATTATATTCAATTGAGGTTTGAACTGTTGAATGGCATGAATCCTGATCAAATTCCTGTTGTTTCGAGAATATCTGCCTAGGTTGATAGAGCACCCTTGATTGAAGGTAGGGAGTTGGTGACTTTAGTCGAGGAGCCAACTCACTATTCTGTACCGAATTCACTTCGGTAGTGGAGGTTTTCTTCATTAGGGCCTCAATCTGTTTACTCCGGTGGAGGTTAGTCGCCCGCTGGAGACTCAGATTGAGAGGGTCTGGAGACCTTTAGTCGAGACTTCAGGCTATTTAAGAACCTCCCGCAGTATAACTATCATAGAAATTGAAGTTGGTAAATTGCAATCCAGCTTAACTGCAGTCTAGGGGGAACCATATCCTGGTGACCTCTCTCGACTTGAAAACAACCGTTTAATTGCTTGCTTGTTTACTTGTTTGGACCTGCACTAAAGTTTCACTGCTAGATAATAAGAATTCACTGAGTAGTCATCACATCTAGGACCTGGGTTGACATTAAAACCCAAACCCACTATACTACGCTTTAGGAAGTGATTACACTTGGCCATTTTCTAGAGTGACAGTAGGAGTGAGTCAGTATTGCGCGGATGCACCCCAAGTCCGGCCACCAAGAGCTGGAGGCTGATGGAATGATCAACACCCTCAAGCTAGAAGGTGACAGCATCGGAGGTGGTGACATGGGAGGTAGCATGCAGCCGGAACGTAGAGTAGAACTCAATCACCAGCTTCTTGTAGGTGGGTGCATGGAGGCAAAGCAGCTTCCTTCAAAGTCGATTAGGAATAGTGGTGAGGATGGAAGCATGGCAGTTGACTGGGCGGAGGGCATTAATGTTCTGGTAATAGTACTGCTGAATCGCCCCTTCGCGGACCAAATGAAACTACGCATTGTACTCTGTTTGATGCAGATTTTCCAAGAATTGGTGGCAGCAAACCATTGTCCTACACAAAGAAACACACGAAACCACCACTCGAGACTTGTTAGCACAGTAAATAGGGAGAAGAAAACCTTCCCCCACACTTAGGGACAACGATGGTACGACTTTATGAAGAAACAAGAACTTTTCTATCATTTGCAGTAAGTAAATTGTGCAATAACCATAACTCACAAGCACATGAAGCCATAACCACGACATCCACACAATTTAATAATTTCAAGGCTATCTCAATTCACGCCCCTAACTAAGCAATTCAGTCAAAGAGTTCAAATGCACTACCCAAAGTCCTATAATCTGATTTTCCAGAATGACAAGGAAAAGGCACAAAACTAACCTCAAGTAGGAGAAGTGGAATTGGGAGGACGGGGTGTGAAGAGCGACTCACGAACACAGAACGACCAGAAAACGACACCAGAGTTCCGTAGGAGGTCTGCCGGAGGCCGCCGCCAACGAGGGTAATCAGTTGAAAATTGACTGGGTAATGGAGGCAGGGGGTCGTCGGAGGAAAGGGAGGAGGTTGGTGGTGGCGGTTTGGCGATTGGTGGAGGGAACATGAAGATATGGGCAAAAAAATGATGAATTTGCGAGCCTCCGGTTAGATCTATAGGATTCTGGCAAAGCAAACAAGACCCGGCTGGGTAATCCGAGATCAACCACAAATCGACTCGACACCAACACCAACTCAACATAAACCACTAACCTGACCCAAAAATGACAGAGAAACGGGAAAAGGAAAGCGAATCGTGGTGGGGTTGTCGCACCACAAGTGCTTCTTTAGCGTTTTTTAGCCGGACACATATGGCAGAACTAAGGGTGTCCAAGATGAGCATCAACTCCGTTCGTTTGACATTGCCTCCCAAGTACAAGTCAAGGCGATTCTCGTTCACCACGAAAGGCTCGGTCTGTGGATTGGCGATCTGGATGGTGCCATATGGAAACACCTAGGTGACCGTGAAGGTTTGGATCAGTTGGAGCATAGCTTGCCCGGTAAGAGTTTCAGGCGAGAGTTGTGTAGGAGAACTCGATCGACCACCTATTTAAAAATGTGGGCCCTTTTAGACGAGCGTCATGAATACGTTTGATCCTCTCTATATATAGCTAGGTGTTCCAATAGGAGTGATAACGCCAATCTTCCAACTCCACCAGCTGTAGTTTCCTTTCGGTACCTGCAAGACTTAGATCAAGGTTTAGCACCTTAAGGGCCCAGAAGGCCTTGTGCCATAGCTCGGCGGGTAAATGATAAGCCTTTCCATACACCAGCCGATATGGAGAAGTACCAATCGGCGTCTTGTAGGCTGTCCTATACGCCAACAGAGCATCATTGAGCTTGGTAGACTAATCTTTACGCGGTTGATCCACCGTCTTTTCAATGATTATTTTCAATTCCCAATTCTTTAGCTCGGCTTGACCATTCGTTTGGGGATGGTAAGCCATGGACACCTCATGCATAACATCATAGCGAGAGAGGAGCTTATTGAATTGCCCTTGAAAATGGGTTACTCTATCACTAATGATGGCTTGAGGTGTCCCGAATAGGGGAAAGAGCTTCTTAGAAATGAGCACACAAGTCTTGCATCATTGGTGGGCATGGCCTGAGCTTCTGCCCACCTCGAGACGTAGTCCACAACAACCAAAATGTACAGATTACCAAATAAAGGAGGAAAGGGATGACCCATAATGTCGATGCCCCATATATCAAATATCTCATAATTCACTAACGACTTCTGGAACATCCCATCACATACAGAGATGTTACCTGACCTCTGACAACGGTCGCATTGGTGTGCGAAGGCCTTTGCGTCCTTGAAGAGCGTAGGCCAGTAGAAGCCCGAGTGTTGCACATTCTGGGCTGTGCGATTTCCTTCATGATGATCGCCAGTGGGTCCCTCATGAAAGTGAGACAAGATATCTCCCATCTCGTGCTCTATCATGCACCTCCTAATCACGCCATCGGCTCCAATCCTGAAGAGGAATGGATCCTCCCATAAATAGTAATTCTGGTCGGAGAAAATTTTGCGCTTAGTGTGAGTGGCCATTCCCTTAGGTAACTACTTGCCCATCAGATAATTGACAAAATCATAATACCAAGAAGTGACACTCTCCACCAAGCACAACGCCAGAAGTTGCTCATTCGGGAAGGAGTCGTTGATCTCTTCCATGAAATTTTCCACCGGAGAGGCTTACAATCGTGAAAGATGATCCTCAACCATGTCCTCTGCTCCTTTCTTATCCCGAATCTCTATATCAAACTCTTGCGGCAGCAGGATCCAACGGATGAGTTGAGGCTTGGCATCGGCCTTGGTCCTCAAGTTTTCCGACCGTTTTTCACCGTCCTCGCCCGCACCTCACTTCCTCCTTCATCCTACTTGAGTCTCCAGGTTTGTTTTTTGACTTTACCTTTGTGAATTGTGGAGGATTAGGTTGTGAAGTGAGGTTGAATTTTTGTGCTTGGCATGATTGAATCTAGATTTAGGGCGAGGAATTAGGTTGGTTGAATGATGGATTGATTTTTGCATGAGCTTAGTGAGCCTTAGTAGGCGTGTTTGAATCGAATTGTGTTTATTTTTAGAATTTGCCCACCAAGTGCTATGTTATGAATGCAAGTGGAGTTTACTCTTGTTTGGTGAATGGTAGCCACCGTTGTAAGGGTTGTGGTCCAACTTTTTGTGTGCTTGAACTGTGAATTACCCACAACCATGCCATGATGGTTTGGGCTTAAATGTTTGATAACCATGGTGGAAAAACAAGTGTTGGGGGGGGGGGGGGGGGTTTCTTTTCCGCCCAATGAGCATTATTTGACGAATGTTTCCACGTATGGTGTGTGTTTCTCAGTTGGGCAGGATGGTTAACATGGATCACCCATACCTTGTGGCGCTAAGGAACAGCCCTGAAATGGAGTGAGAGGCGTACTTTTGGGCATCTTCGAGAGTCGATAACCATTGGAAACTCAACTTCGGGCAGTTCGACAGGCTTCATTGTGGTGACATTATGAGGGAGGCAGTGGTGCACCCACAATGGCACCAAGCCCTTGATCTTAAAGATGACAGTTACTTGGAGTTATGCGTCGAATTTTTCAGCACCTTCACCACACGCAAGAGCCTGTGCCTACTCGGCCATCCAGTACGCCATGTCGAGTTCCGATTGGGAGGGGAACTTCGCAATTTGAGCTATGATGAGTTAGCCAGAGCCCTCAGAGTGGAAGTCAAACATGAGGACGAGTGAGAGAAAGATGCTATCCAAAGTTTTGACGTGAATGCCGCGTTTCTGAAGTTTTTTCTTCCAAAGTACCGAAGGACAAAGTTTAAGTCGGCCCTCACAACGGCATCCACACTCCAGCCCCAGTGGTGTGTCATGGTTGCACTTCTGGCTCGTTCCCTCTACTTGGCTTACCACAACCCGAACAAGATAACCGAGAGAATCTTATTGGCTTGTTCTTGCATGGCTGACCGGTCTAGCACTCTGCACCTGGGTTCAGTCATGGCCACTTCTTTTGCCAGGGCCAATGGTGGAAACCTTTGTTATGTCACATCAATGGGTCCGTACATCACCCAGAGATTTCACGAGGGCAGTCTGCACTCCATGCGCACCTTTGGCCCAATGCGGTACATCGAGGGATTGAGTCCTGACCCCGAGGTCCCGCTAGTAGCCGAGCAGCCGCCTGCTCATGCACCCGGCCGCCGCCGCCGTCCAGGGCTCCAGTGCCTTGCACAACAGCCACCGCCAGCAGCAGGCGATCCCCTCATCCAGAGGGTGGATCGCTTAGAGACGAACTTCATGGGATTCTCATCCCGCCTCGACCAGCAGATCGACATCCTCGAGCTTATGGCTTGACGCCAGGGTATCCTACCCGATGCTAGAGAGGGTCCTTCCACCGAAGAGAGGTAGCCGACGAGTGAGACATGTGGCAGAGCGGAGTCGTTTCGCCCCACTACTCTACTTGTAACCCTGAACTTGTTTTCTTTTTGTTTTTGTTTTTGTTATTTTTCTTCATTTTGTGTGTGTGTGACATAAACTACTACTATGTATTGTGCTTGTAATAACCTTGCCTCAAGCGAGTTGTATTGTGTTTGTGTGTGTGTTTTTTGTCTTTCCTTGAAGCTCAATTATCCTACCCCGGTTCGATTCCAACTTTCACTCACCAAGTCCAAGTGGTAACATCATTCTACCCTTTTTTTACGCCATTGAGGGCAATGTCGAGTTTAAGCGCGCGTGTGTGTGTGTGGGGGGGGGGGGTAGTTTACTAGTACGCTTGCGTGAGTGGGAAATTCTCGTGTTTATTGGCATTGATCTTGACTTGTTGCATGTGATCGAGTATGTCCTATGATGATGACTGTGAAGTTCATTAGGATATGGCAAAAGTTTAGTTCTTAGGTGTGCATAAATGAATGGATGTCTTTACTTGATCACTTGTTGCTTACAATTGTCATGCATCGTGTTTGTGAATTGGAATAGATGGTTGGGTAACTAGGTAGCTTGTGAGCTTTGAGCCGATCGTTTGCTTCCGGTGTGGTAGTTCCCACTTACCACTATGTGTAGCATCACAAGTTGTCACTAGTAAGGATGATGGAGGCATATGATTAGTCCACACCCAAATGTTGATTATCCTAAAATGTGTCATCCTTTAGTCAACCCCTTTGAGCCGTGTGACTTCGAGGGTCGTTCTCCATTTAGGAGCTTCGTGTGTGTGAGATTAATGGTGTTAAAAGAACGACCCCAATCCTTTCTTCGTGTCTAAACATGAGTCGTCCTTGTATCTCAGAGCTCTTGATATGATCCAAATCCGAAGAGAACCCTCGAACTCGGATTATATGACCAAAGTATGCAGCTTCAACGATCTTTTTATGATTTTCTGATGTCGCCTTTCTTGAACTCAAAAAATAAAAGATAATGCCGAATCAACCGGACAATCCCAACCGTGATGAAGGGCAATTGGTAAATGAAACCAATCGGACAGCACCAACTCGTGGAAAGGGGCAATTGATATAGGGTAGAAACTCGCCACAACTAGACGCGTTCTCTAGTTGATAAGAGACACGTGAAACCTCTGGAGCACTCTCGACAGAAGCTTGCACAAACTTTCACAAAGGAACACGAGTAAAAACTCTTTAATTGATAACTTAAATGTTGGGTATTGTGTACAAAATTCGTAGCTCTTACATCCTCTATTTATAGAGGTTATCAAAAACATAAAACTAACCTAAAAGGAATAGGAAAACAAATCCCGAACTAACTAGAAAACATAATAATTATTTAACACATGAATAAACTACTAATTAACTCCTAGATAATTAAATAATTAAACTCCTGCACCGCTCCGCAGCGCGTCCTCTTTCCCTTTTCCTTTGCGGAGAATGAACTCAAGCCCGCCAAGTTTCCGTAGCAGCCAAGGACTCTTCTAGCAACCTTTTTTTTTTTTTGACAAAAGATAATCATATATATTAGATCAAAAAGATAGTTACATCCTGGAGATCAGCCAGGTCTGAAAATCAAAGTGACGGAGCATAGCCGGGTACAGAGAAAGGGCCTTTCGAGCCACCAAATGGGCTACCCTATTAACACGCCGACCTACAAACCGTACAGAAAACCCAGGAGAACAGGACA